CAACATAATTACCTTGTAAGACGACAATAATCTTCAGAAGCCCATTGATAAGATTTGACAATGAAAATAACTAGTTGCAAATACCATAATCCATTACATGAACTTTTGTACATGGGTGGTTCGCCTTCTATCCATTAACTATAATAATATCTTAGGTTGGTTGAATTCCAAGTTATGGGAATGAGTCATCCATCCACTTCTTTGAGCTTGTAAGCTTTGTTAGGCAGCTTCTGATAGACACGATAAGGCCTTCCTAATTAGGCTGTAATTTTCCCTATTGGGAAGATACCACAATCTACCATCCAATTTCTTCTTGTTTCCTTTCAAGATTACCTTATTGTCTGATTCAGCTTATTCGTTTTCATGTGGGTCAATGATGGATACGAATTTAGTTTGTACCATCATCTCTTTTTATAAATTGGTCACAACAATACTCGAGAATTGCGTCCCATTTTCTAAGACAATAACTCCTTGTAAGCCAAACCTGCACATGATTGTCTGCCAATAAAAAACGACAAACTCTTTCTGCTATTAGTTTGGACACAACTTCTGCTTCTATCCATTTTGTGAAGTAGTCGACTCTGACAATCGAGAGTTTTAGTTTGCCTAGAGCAAAAGGAAAAGGTCCTAGGATATCCACACCATACTAATAAAAAGGCCAAGGCGTTGATACAAAATGATGAAACTCAACGCATGCATAGTGAAGGTTGGCGTGCGTTTGGAATTTGTCACACCTCTTGATGAAAGCTATGTTGTCCTTCATTAGAGTTGGCTAGTAATAGCATGTTATTAAAAGTTTGTGGGCCAAGGCTCCTCCTCTAATATGACTACCATAAACTCCCTAATGAACTTCGGCTAAAACCAGGGAGATTTACTGTTCCACTAAACATCTCAACATGGGACCGATTCTTCTCACTTTATATAGCTTTCCAAATATAAGGACGTGCTTTGTCACATGCTTATGAGTTTTATTTTCTTCAAGCTTATCTTGTGGTAATTCGCTTGATTGTAGATAATAACTTATGGGACCTATCCAGCCAGGGCGACATCGATATAATTCACCTCATTTGATTCTATGATAGGAATGACGAGTATTTCATGTATCACTGTGCGATTAAATCCCGCTTTCTTTGAACTAACTAGCTTAAACAATAGGTATACCCTAAATTTCTACTCCCTGGGTACATACTTTATCTCAAACTTTTAGAAACGTTCAGACAAATCGTGTACCTTCTTTAATTATCGGACGAGCTAAGGTTCATTCATTTGATACTTGCTGAGGATTTGTCTCACCACTAACTGAGAATCTCTTTTGGCTTGAAGGGTCAATGCGTCTACTTCCAAGGCGATTGTCATATCAACAATGAGGACTTTATATTTAGCTTGATTGTTACTAGCCTTGAATTCAAACTTCAGTGGTTGCTCGACCATTAATCCTCTAGTCCTTCTAATACAATCCTGGTGTCACTTCCTTTGATGCTAGAGGCTTTATCTACTAAGAGGATCCAAGTGGGGGAAACCTCCTCGCCGATGGGCGTGTTAAACTCCACAAAAAAGTCCTCCAATACATGTGATTTAGTGTTGCCTCTCGGGATGTATTGAATGCCATTTTCGGATAACTCAACAGCCCATGATACAATTCTTCCAGTTAGATTTAGCTTCTTCAGAACCTGGCATTCATGATAGTCTGTCTTTACCAATATTTGATGTCCTTGAAAATAAGGCATATGATTCCATGTTTATGATGGCTTGACATTTATTTGGATTCTTCTTTATGCCCCTCTTGGTGAGCATTAAACCTAAGAACTTTCCTGCATGTACACCAAACAAACACTTGGCTGGATTAAGGCACATGTTGTAATCTCTGGATCCCTAAGATATCTTCCAAGCCTGTTGCGTAGTTTCCCCCTTCTACTATGTTCACGATCATGTCATTAATGTACACTTCTAGGTTATGTCCTATATGCCTTGCAAACACCGCATCCACGAACTGCTGGTAGGCGGTGTTAGCATTCTTGAGCCAGAAATGCATGACGTTGTAGTAATAATTGCAGTGATTGAACATGAACGTTGTCTTATGTATGAGCTCCATTTTAATACGGTTATTGTACTATGAATAGACGTTCATGAAACTTAAAGCTTTGTAGCCCAATGACCCATCAATTAGGCGATATATATTAGAAAGGAGATAAGAATCATTAGGGCATATTGCATTGAGATAAGTGAAGTCAACATACATATACCACTTATATGATGCCTTCCTTACCAAAACCAGGTTAGCTAGCCACAAAGGGTTTTAATCTCTATTATAAAACATACATTTGTTAGCTTCTGAACTTCTTTGTCAATGACAACCCTCTTTTATTCACCAACCTTGCAGTTTCTCTGGGATACCAGCTTGACCAAGGGATCTATGGCGAGTCGATGGCACATCACTCGTGTATCAATATCAGGCATATCTGAAGGAGCATAGGCGAACATGTCAACGTTCTTTCGAAGTAAGGTGATCATGTCTTCATCTTCCAAATCGAACTACAAGGTGCCATGGCGCATGGACAAAATTGCCCCCAGCATGTTTAGAGCGGGTCTTCCTAGGATGATGTTATAGGGGACATAGTATCTACTATAAGATACTTTACTTCGATGTCCATAACGCTCACCTTCGAGCCTATTATAGTCTCTAGGGCGACATGGTGTTTGATATGTACTTGTTCGCTTGACATACTTACCAAGAACCCCTAAAAAAATTGATATTCTGAGGACCTATCCAGAGCCCCTGAAAGGTACTCCAAAACATAATATCTGTGAAGCTGCCATGATGGATTAACACCATTTTCACCTCCCAATCAACATGTTGGATTGTGATAACCATACAATCATTATTGTGAGAAAGTGTGCACACAACGTCTTCTTTCGAGAACATGATTTCATGCTTCCTGTCTTCGTCAAAGCTGTTGAGGGCTTTTAGGGGTGTGTTGTTTATTACTAACACCAATCGAGCGTACCTACTTTGAGAGAAGTTGAATTCTCCTCCTCCGATAAAAACCGTATGCGTTGGTGTTATAAGTTTTCTTGAAGCTATGCTTGAACATCCTCGTGGAAAGATAGTCAGAGTAATTTATATGATGTGTGTGTGACCTGTCAGTTTCACCAAAGCCTCGTGATAGACGTCAATTATACTTATTAAAAATACAATGAGCATATCAATGAGAATTAATAAATTAGTTGGTATTTTATAATCAATATAAATTACTTCATCCGTTTTAAAATGATTATCATTTAAAAAAAAATATTTTAAAATGATGGTTATTCTCGCTTTTAATATAGAAATAATAATAATTTTTTATTCATGATTTTTAATCATTATTTTATACATTATTTCCATTAACGGTACTACTAATTTAATAAAAATATAATGTATTATAATATTATCATTATATTCTTAAATCCTTATAAAAAAACGTTAAACATATATTTTGAAACGAAAAGAGTATAAACTACCCACTCATATATCCACTATGAATTTTTTTTACCAAATATATCCTCATAATTTAGTTAGGATGAAATTTACTTTTTCATTTATCAAATCTATCATATACGATCTATTTGCCAGGCCCACTCCGCAGTAAATCTCCGTATCAATTCATAGTGCATTTTTCGTATTTTATTTCCGGGGGCAAATATTAATAACAATATCTTGTTTTCCAAAACACAATAATTTATTCATAGAAAAAAAAAAAAAAAACTCTTGCTTGAAATTGGAATAAAGATCATCTCACAATCATCATCTTCAATGGTTGGGCAAAATAAAAGACAAAGAACAAGTTTCAGATTTTAAGAGTTTAAGATCCCATCACCACACTGTTAGTTATTACAGTCCAAAACATAACGAATCTCATCGGAAAACGAGTAGCGAAAATTTGGAAAAGTGGAAAATAAGCTTCAGCCAGCAAAGCACAGAGAGTTCAGAGTTTGATTGGTTCATCACCTATGCACTTGACTTGACTCTATTATCTCGTTCTTTCACTTTCAAGGTACTCTTCTCTCTCTTTCTCTCTCTAAATTGTTCATATTGATATTCTCATCTTTCAATAATGTGCAATTAGTTACCATCTTGATAATTGAGATTTTGTTAGTATATCCAATTTTTTAGTTGCGTGTTTGATTTTAGGTTGACAATTTGTAATCGAAGGTTTTCTTCATAACATAATCTTAGAAGTTTTTTCTGTAATTTCTTAATTTTTGGTGTGATTTGAAAATTGAAATGTAGTGTGTATGCAATTTTTGAGAAATTGAATAGTTCAAATAGGAATAGCAATTATTGTTACACTGTGTGCAATAATGTGGAAGTTTTGTTTGTTTCAATCCTGACGGAAACAGTTGAATTTAGCAATTATTTTTGCCTTGGTTGATAGTTTCTGTATTTTTTAAGATTTATCAACCGACTACTCTGTTTTTATGTATACTGTTTGTGATTTTTTTATTAAGGAAAGTGATTTTTCTTAATTGAAATAAATATTGCAAGTTGTTGTATATAAAGACTTTTTCGGCTGGATGGAAGTCTAGTCAAGCTTCTGTTCTTCAATTTTGTGTATGATTTTGATTGATTATATTGTTTTTCTCTTTTTGGTTCTTATTATTTTTATCACTTTGATAATTTCTTGTAGATGTGGTTGTTTACCATATTTAGCAATAGTTAAGGATTCTATAAATTTAAATTTGTTTCTTTCTCTATGCTATGAAGCAAACTTGGATTATTGAACATCTTTGTTTATTTCTTCAGTTCTATGGCGTGATTGTGGATGTTTTAAGGCTCGTGTAGTGATAGGTTTCTGATTTATTTCATTTTTTTTACTTCTCTTTTGTAGCCAGAAGGACGAAAAGTTTCGAAGGTCAATCTCTTGGTAAGCTTTCCTATCTGCAACCGTTATTGTCTTGTAGCGGTTGAGAATTCGGGGTAGTTATAATTCTGTAAGGAAATTTTCTTTTGATCATTATGCATGTCTGTCTCTGTGGCTACAACTGATAGTTTGGATCGAACACATTCTCTTGATATCTTTTCTAATATAGACCATATATCTATATTGACAAACCGTGAAGCTGTTCAGTCTACTGAAATTGCTGGTTTTAGAGTTGGGGAAATCTCTCTTCTTAATGGTGAGTCATATTCCGGCTCCCTTCTTGGCAACGTTCCGGAGGGACAGGGTAAGTATGTGTGGTCGGATGGTTGTGCATATGACGGTGAGTGGAGATTGGGGATGAGAAATGGATTTGGGAAAATACAATGGCCTTCTGGTGTTGTGTATGAAGGTGAATTCTCTGGTGGGTATATCCATGGTACAGGAACATATATTGGTCCGGAAAATCTGACCTACAAAGGTCGATGGCGATTCAATCTTAAACATGGCCTGGGTTATCAAGTTTATCCAAATGGAGATATATTTGAAGGCTCTTGGATCCAAGGAACTCCAGAGGGGCCAGGCAAGTATATCTGGGCTAACGGAAATGTATATTTGGGAAATATGAAAGGTGGGACAATGTCGGGAAAAGGAACTCTTACTTGGGTAAGTGGAGACTCATTTGAAGGAAGCTGGTTAAATGGCATGATGCATGGTCTTGGAGCATATACTTGGAGTGATGGGGGCTGCTATGTCGGGACCTGGACACGGGGTTTAAAAGATGGCAAAGGAACCTTTTATCCAAAAGGAAGCTGTCTTCCATCTGCACAAGAAGTATATCTCAATGCATTAAGGAAAAGAGGGCTATTACCCGATTTGAGAAAACAGAACCAGGTGCATATTCATCATACTGCTTCAGTGAATATGGGTGACAGCAAAGCCGGTGAGAGCCAGAGATCAAGTGGTGTTTCATCCGATAAGCTTGCCACAAGAAACCTATTAAATCTGGACCAATCTCGCAGCAAAAATGTTTCTCTCGAAAGGCGGTGGAGTCTCGAGGTAGCTATTGAGAAAGTGATTGGCCATGATTCACAATTAGCTTCAACAGATTCTGTCTTCCAAAATGGAAATAAGGAGGTTAATGAAAAGATCCCAATTTTGGAACGTGAGTATATGCAAGGGGTTTTAATAAGTGAGGTAGTTTTAAATAATAGTTTTTCATCACTAACTAGACGAGCAAAGCAGCTTAAAAAAAAGATTGCTAAAGAAATCAAAAGACCAGGGGAACAAATTATTAAAGGCCACAGGAGCTACGATCTGATGCTTAGTTTGCAACTTGGGATAAGGTAAAAGACACTATCTTGACATTTTGTACAGTTAAGCTGTTTTAGTTGTTTTCATTTAAAACAGTGCTACAGCTACATGATTTTGCTTCCTACAAGTTTATTTTTTCAATTTATTTTAATGAACATAAAATTTTCAAGATGAAGCCATGTTGGAAGGAAGTCATAAAGTCATACTTATGAGAACAGGGTCGAGCATATCTTTTCACTGATCACAATTTTTATAGTAGATCATCCCAGACATGTTTTCTGTATTTCTTATCGATTTTAGTGACACGAGGCAACCATATACAATGAAAGAACCAAACATATCCAACTTTAGAAAAAAATGAAGTAATTCGGGAATATCAGTATTTTCTTTTGCATGGTTTTCTGAAAGTAACTTAAAAACGGGCTTCAAATGGCTAGGTATACTGTGGGAAAGATTACCCCAATACAAAGACGAGAAGTTCGGGCATCGGATTTTGGTGCCAAAGCAAGCTTTTGGATGAATTTTCCTAAAGAAGGTTCTCAATTGACACCTCCTCATCAGTCGGATGATTTTAAATGGAAGGATTACTGCCCTATGGTGTTCAGGTTAGTTGAAACTTTTTTAGGCATATTATTTTTGTGACCGCTGCTTCATTCATCGAGTCAGTATACATGCATTTAAACCAAACCTTGCTTAACAAATCACTTCTTGCCACTCTTATGGATCGGTTGATAGCATCAGGCTATATGACTAGCTCTATTTTCATCTAAATATAGTTTTTTCCTCTTGAAGTAACTGTACTGAATTTTAATCTACCATATGTTTCTATAACTTTCATAAGTTTTTCGATATTAGTAAAAGGAAAAACAGGTGCGCACACAATAAATTTGTACATCTGATTTTAAATATCCATTTCAAAGTACAATGCCTACTGACAACTTAAGGTGAATATAAGCATGGAATAATTATTCAAAACTGACTTGTAATTTTGTAATTGTTCATTAAGCCACATCAATTTCATGTTGAATCCTTGCTTCAACTACTCAAATACCTCTAGTGTATGATGTTGATGTGAACTTCATAATATTGTAAAAAATATTCATTTTTTACAATTGTGTTTGTATACATGGTAAGGAAACACTATTTCGGCCTCTGTTTTGCTATCCTTCCTTCTTTATTTCTTTCTTTCACCTTTCGTATGCTTGTTATATATTATGACCTTGTGACCTGTTGCAGAAATTTGAGAGAATTATTCAAGATTGATGCTGCAGACTATATGATGTCTATTTGTGGAAATGATGCTTTAAGAGAACTATCTTCTCCAGGGAAAAGTGGTAGTGTCTTTTTCCTGTCTCAGGATGATCGTTTCATGATCAAGACACTGAGAAGATCAGAAGTGAAGGTGTGTTAATTTCATGTGGATCTTGTTTATCAACTCTCGTTGCAGATATAGATATATAAACTTCCTTGGAGAATTGTTTTCAACTGGTTCTCTTTCATATTTCACTATACCTAGGTGTTTTTTTCATGGTTATGTGTGAAGCTGTGAAGCACGGACTTTGATTTAGACACCACACAAGTCATCACTGCTCATGTAAAAAATACAGGACACTGACACCAATTATTTATTTATTATAACTAAATAAAACATGAACATTATTTATAAAATATCCAAATTAAGAATTAATATATATATAGAATAAATTCTTAAACAAGATATTATAGTCTTTCACCTTCGCTCATCCATCTATTACAGAAAAGTAAAAAAATGATGTAATATCTTCAACTTCCTCATTGATCACCACTGCTTCGACACATCTTTAATCCCCATAGATGTGTTTGAGAAGTGCCCAATGAGCATCTAAGGTGTGTTGATGCAAAAGAAAACAAGTTTCTTGAGACACTTATCTGATTTGATGAACATGTGTCGTATGGGTTTCACACACCAAGGCGTGTTGGAAACAGTGAAATGCATAATTCCACTGGTGTTCATGGTTATCAGTGACATACTTGCAAAAAGGGCTGTTGACATCATTGTGCTCAGAATGTCATCAAGTGCTACATTAACTTCATACATATATTAAGCATAACCTTAAATAGAAAATTACCATCATTTTTACCAAACTTATATGTCTGCATTGTTAACTTAAATGCAGTTTTTCATATGCACATACATGTGTAGGTACATACACACATATTGAGAGGTCTTCACAGACAGAAAAAAGTTATCGGTGTGATATTGCCTGCCTCATTAACTTGAATGATATTTTATGTTTTCCATTTTCTATGTCTCTTTTCTCTCTGATAAAAACTACTCTTTCAATCCAAAAGCTTAATAGAAAATTGAGCTTTTAGCTTAGGTGTGTTGAATCAAGTTGTGGTGTTGGTGCATATGTTTAGTAATGATACTTTAGTATTCACATGTTCTTGTCTACTTTTCATTTTTCGATGTAAAATAGAAAATGTAGTGACCGTAATCTGCAATGTAGGTTCTTCTAAGAATGCTTCCAGATTATCATCATCATGTCAAGTCATATGAGAATACACTCATTACCAAATTTTTTGGTCTCCATAGGATTATACCTTCAAGTGGTCAAAAGGTAAGCTGGCTTATCTCCAACTGGGTCATTTTCTTGAGTATTTATCAATCACTAATGTGAATTGCACCTTAATCCTTGCAAATAAAAAAGATCTAAAAAATGAAAAAATTCATTAAGAAAATGTACTACATCAAATATTTGAACCTATCATCACTTGTATCTTTCATGCCAAACGATTTAAACTTTATTTTCTTTAATTTGGAGGCCAACATTTATATATGATTTTCTATCTTGCAGTTTCGCTTTGTTGTAATGGGAAATATGTTCTGCACAGAACTGAGGATTCATAGGAGATTCGATTTAAAAGGTTCGTCTCTTGGACGTTCTTCTGACAAGATAGAAATTGATGAGAATACCACTCTTAAAGATTTGGATTTGAACTATTGCTTTTATTTGGAACCGTCTTGGCGGGAGTCTTTATTAAAGTAAGTGGCATCTACAAAAAAACTTCTTTAGTCAAGTGTTTCAATTTTTGTTTTTGATGTTATAAGAAAAGATTTTATTCCTAGGATCATAAAGAAGAGGAAGACAAATTAGTCCCCTTCAACATTACTAATGGTTCATTAGTGTTTGTTTGAACTTCAAACGTTTTTCTGACGAGTCTTTAGAAAGTTTCAAGATGTATAATCCTGCAATGCTCAATTCTCTTACTCGTTCTCTTTTGCAGGCAGATTGAGACTGACAGCATGTTCTTAGAGGAACAGCACATAATGGATTATAGCCTTCTTCTAGGTGTTCATTATCGAGCTCCTCAGCAGTTGCGTCCTCCCGCGTCCTACAACCATAGTACAAGTTTAGAGGGTTTGGCAAGGCTTGCAGAGGAAGGTGGGTATCGGATCCAATCTAGAAAGTGGTTATCTATAATTTGGTCTATCATTATTTTTCAAGTTTCAGCAATTATTTTTCATGGAACTGATTAATTTTGAAAATTTTGGTAATCAACTACAGACCCTCTAGAGGATGAAGTATATAACTATCCACAAGGTCTTGTTCTGGTTCCCCGGGGAGCAGACGATGGAAGTGTTGTTGTCGGGTCTCACATTAGAGGTAGCCGATTGCGAGCATCAGCTGCTGGTGATGAGGAGGTGGATCTACTTCTACCCGGTACTGCAAGGTAAGAATTTTAACCATTTCGCTTGGGATGATCATATTAAGGCAGAAATAAAACTGTGCTTAATGCACCCGTCGTTATGCAGACTTCAAATCCAGCTAGGTGTGAACATGCCAGCAAGGGCAGAACAGATTCCAGGAAAAGAAGATTCACAAATGTTCCATGAAGCTTATGATGTTGTACTTTACTTGGGTATCATCGATATACTGCAAGATTACAACATGACTAAGAAGATTGAACATGCGTATAAATCTATTCAGTTTGATTCATTATCAATCTCCGCCGTGGATCCTACATTCTACTCGCGCCGCTTTCTGGATTTTATCCAGAAAGTGTTTCCATCAAATGTGGCAGGATGAAGTTAGAGTTACTTCATCCAGATACTATTCACAATGTATTGTTCCTTTTGTGCATGCTTTGTAATTGCTTAAATGTGTATTTTTTATGTTAATAAATATGTTAAATTTTGATTGTCTTTTTTATTCTATTTTTATTTTATATTTATATTAAAGCAAAAAAGTTCAGTTTAGACACAACAGTTTAGACAACTATAATTTGTTACTTCTGTGTTATATCACGTCAATGTGACATAGAGATGTGAAAAAACCTTCTCTAATGCTTGCCCATCCAAACATGTTGATTATGTGTAGCTTCACTATACCCGCACGTCTAAAGTAATGCTAATTTTTTTTTGTTTCGTTTTAAATTTAATTTACTTTAAAGAAAATAGTTTTCAGCGTGGTTTTTTAAGTGATAATGTATGGAATAAATTAGACTTAATTAGTGATGAAGTCTTCTAAATTAATTTTATATTTCACTTTAATTTCATATATGTTATATTTTGGTCCTTTAAAAATTATGTTGGTTAGTTAAATTAGTGATTTCTGTTAAATGTTAGGAAAAAAAAGTTAGTTGTGATGGTGTGGGATTTGGATCCTCTCCTTTTTTATATATTCTGTCATCTCTCATGTTTTTAATCTAACGGTTCATAATTTATAATAAATAATTAAATAAAAAAAGTCATTTAATAGGAGACAGAAATGGAGTTAAAGTTGTTTTGGCCTGGGCCCGGCCTCACCTCGCGGCCCAGCCCAATGACGCACAACCAAGGCCCAAGATGATTTAAGCAGGCTGACCAGGCACGCGATCCCCTTCGACGGGCAGGGCATGCTCCCGCTGAGCAGGACGGCGTGCCTTAGGACGCCCTCGGCGCCCTTCCCTTGTCGGACAGACTAGTCCTTCTCGGGCAGAACCCTATACCGTCGAGCAGGGCAACGTGTCTCCTCCACGCCTTGTGCGCTTCCCCCCGCGGGGAGCACGACACACCTCGCGAGCTCCCCTCCGCGGGGAGAACAACGTGCCATGCGCACGTTCTCCACGTGCTCCCCTCCGCGGGGATACGTCATCCACCAACTGTCCACCTCTAAAAGTGCAGGTCAAACCCACTTTCCGGAGACCACGGGACAGTTGGACTAGGGCGAAAACCACGTCCTGGTCTTCACTACACCACGTAAGCCCTAGCAGTCGCTTAGGTTGGGCCTAACAATCCAGTCCAAAACAAGTGACTGTTGGCCTAGCGCTGGGGTCTCTCTATAAATACCCTCTTCCACAAGAAGGTCAGGTAATTCACTTCTTACCCATTTTCTGTGTTTTGCTCTCACTCTGCCCGACTCTTTACTTTGGCATCGGAGTGTTTTGCAGGTACACCCCCCTTCTCCTCCTCATCACCGGTGAACAGGTAGCAGTCCAACAGAGTGTGGCCTGCCCGTGATCCCCTTCTGATCAGGTCAGATCAAAAGTGTTGTTGAAGAAATTCTCTATTAAATGACTTTTTTTATTTAATTATTCATTATAAATTCTGAACCGTTAGATTAGAAATATGAGAGATGACAGAATATATAAAAAAGGAGAGGATCCAAATCCGATGGTGTGACATGAAAGTATGGAAAAAATTAAAATTGTGTGAGTAATTTAGATGAAAGAGTAAATTAAAATTTTTACATTTAGTTAAGAGATCAAACTATAAAAGTAGCAAAATTGCGATTAAAATAACTAAATTGCAATTAAAATAATCAGACTTAAATTTCATAACATTTTACAAAATAATAATATGTTATTTATTATAATAGAATTTCATATCAATTATCTTGAATTTAATGACATTAATTAAAATTTTGTTAAATTCTTTGATGCAAATCAAAAACATTAAATAAAAAATAATGAATTAGTATTTCTCGTTACATTGATTGAATATATTGCATATATTCATGTGTACAAAGTGTGACCCTTGAACCAATTGTCCAAGGTTTACTTGATCCAATTGTGAACCACACATACCCTAACAATCTCAAATAATGTCTTTAGAGAAACAAATTGAAAGGATGATTTTCAGTTTAACCTATTAAGTTAGAAACATTTTTGACAGAGTTGTTCATTTCCATGGATTCAGCACCACAACGCCCCGAGTAATAGATTGGAAGGATGATCTTCGCAAATACACTGAACACACCATAAAAAATTTATGCAAATAGAACGTAAATTGTTTATCTGTGAAAACTTCCTTAGAACAGGATCAAGTTTAAGTAAATGATCAAGTTTAAGAAAATTATATGGATGAACAAAGTTGTTCAACAAAGAATAGTTTCACATTAAATCTAACTATTTAATCAAATAAATGACCTAATAAAAAAATTAACAAATCAAAAAATTGTAAAAATATTTAGTGTCTTATTGCACCTTATATGTTTCTTCGGACGCACCATAATACACACATTTCATTAATTTTTGAGTCAGACTCAATTTTATAAATACATTTATTTCGAAAATATATCTCTAAAAAAATTTCGAAAATATATTTTCGAAAACCGCAAAACTAGCTTTCTCCACCACTAGTACATGAATCCCTACCTTCTTAAGAGACTAAAAAAGACAAATCATTTGGATTCTCGCGAATTTTTTACACAAATGCCACACATTGAAAAATTGAATACCAAATTGTCACAGATTGAAAAAAAATTGCGAAATTGCCACTACTGCAGAAAGGGTTTGTCCATTGGAAGAACCACCCTATGAAGGGTGTTTTCATGCTGTATGGGTTCGGCCATCAATTGGCCGACCCTACACTGTGTGGTTTTTTTTGTTTTTTATTTCAGAAATAAATATATATTATATTTTATTATTTTATATTTTAAATATTTTTTTATATATTAAAATTATTTAAATGATATTTTAATATTAATAAATAAATAATTTAATTATTTTAAATAATTTTTTAATATTAATAAATATTTTTCACATTATCTAATTAATTGTTTTTTATATATTAAAATTATTTAAATGATATTTTATATTAATAAATAAATAATTTAATTATTTTAAATTATTTTTTAATATTATTAAATATTTTTCACATTATCTAATTAATTGTTTAACTAAATAATTATATAAAATAATAAATTAAATCATAAATAAAGGATATTTTATTAATATTTATGAGTGGAGAAAATACATCATTTTTATCTAGGCCGATTTGATGAGCCTGCCACGTTCGGACATTTTCTCCGCATATGATCGATTTCTCAACAAATTCCACATCTTCTCTTTTCTTTCTCAAAATCGTCCATTTCAGTTGTAATTCTTGTACTATTTGGACGCCCTTTCTTATTTCTTCCGTTTGTCTCGTCATGGCAAAGAGTGAATCCTTCATATGTTGGCCAATTTTGCTGGTGTGGAAGTCCAAGGAAGCTTTGGTTGTATACTTTGAATACACTTAGAACCTTGAAAACATCTGGTATGTGCATGTTATGGTCCTGTCGTATACTGGCACATGCTGCGATTACATGGGAGCAAGGTAAATGAAATGCCTGAAACCTCCCACAATCGCACCACCCTCTCTTGAGATCAACGCTAAAAGTACCTAATGGTCGGCCATCGCGTTGATTAATGCTTTCGGCAACCATAAAACAGAATCTCTCGTGATCAAATTGAATGACATTATGGCTACTAGATTTACTCGCCTCGTCGGCCATTCCCTTGTTACAGTTTTGCGTGAAAGTTTGACCAGATGCCAACATTTTTGTCCAATCGTGTCCTTGTTTTCCAAACAGTGATCCCAGACGATAGTACGTTGACTTGACCAATGTTGTAATAGGAAGGTTTCGGGTAGCCTTAAGTACCGAGTTCATAGATTCGTCCAAATTTGTGGTCATGTGTCCCCACCGCTGTCCTCCGTCGAACGCCCTCGACCACTTCTCTCTGGGAATATTGTCAATCCACTTCAAAGCTGCTCTATCTGTTCTACGTAATTCTCCCCTGTAGTAGTTAAATGTTACCTCTGTTAGTGCGTATCTTGTAAATGAAAATATTTAAACAAAATGATCAGTAAAACATATGAAAATTATTAAGTCAAAAAATAAAAATTGAAACAACAACTTGTGAAGATGTAGACATACCCATGTTGACAACTGTTTTCCATAGTGCTTTGTTTCTGAACTCACGCATGAAGTTTTGCGCAATGTATATGATACAGTAAACATGTGAAGATGGAGGAAACTGCCACCCATGTTCAGGATCATCGTAAGCACTCTTGATTGGTGGATGTCGGTCGGGAAAGAAACTTCAACCATCCTCTGTCTCTCCTTCAACCAATGCGAATGCTATCGGGAAAATGTTACCATTTCCATCTTGTGCCACAGCCATCAACAAAGTCCCTTTGTACTTGCCGTACAACCAGGTTTCGTCAATTTGCACAATCGGTTTACAGTGACTAAAACCACGGATACACGGTTCGAATGCCCAAAAAAGTCGATGAAATTTCCGTTTGTCACCCAATTGGGTTCCGTCCTCTGTAATAATCGGCAATGTTTCCAACTGTATAACAGTTCCAGGAAGATATGCCTTCAGCACCAACAACCATTGTGGTAGGTCATTGAAAGACGTCTCCCAATTCCTATAAAGTGATTCTACAACTTTAATCTTTGCAATCCAAGCTTTCCGATATGAGATTCTATAACCGTATTTTTCAGCAATATGGGCTTGTATAACTTTGACTTTTAGTGAAGCATCGCTGTTAACAAGTTCTCTGATGCTGTGGCTAATAATTTCATAATCTAATTTTCTATGATCCTGTGACATAGAAGTTGTTGTGCATGTGTGTGATCCTCTTATAGTAGCAAACTCCCATAATATGCTTTTTTTTACGCAATGCAGCTCTACATTTGAAGATGCATTGTGGGTTCTTACATTTTATTATATACCTTACTAAATCAGATTTATATACTGCATAGCCAAGGTTGTTACTAATATGCCAATGTTGTAAAAAAAAGAACACATGCTTCCTTATTTTCAAACACCAAACCTA